TCCAAGAGTAGTGTTTACAAGTTGCTTTTAGAGTCAGCACTTTTTAAGGATTCGCCCCAAACCTCATTTTATTTATAAAAAAACTCCTGCCCATAGGATCTTGTTACATGGTCATTAAGTTATCAATGTCTCTTTCAATAGGCATGTTATCTGAAGAAGCTTAACAAGAAGAAGTTGTAACAAAAAAACTTTTCAAAAAATATTTAAAAAAATAACATTTTAGTCGTAAAATGTCAAGAGCAAAGAATAATGAAAACAATTGTTCATCTGATTCATAATTAACATAATTATGATTATAGATTCATAATAATAGTTTAGCATAATATTAGCGAGAAAATCTAATTCAATTAAGATTCAACTTCCACATGAAATGACCCAACAATTAAAATCATCAAGCTTCAGCCACAACACCTATGTTACGATTCTCAGCCACAACACCTATGTTACGATTTTTAGCCACAACACCTATGTTACAATTTTTAGTAAGTGGCATTTTTCAATGGATCAACTTTATTATTTTAATTTTATTTGTGTTCAATTCAATTTTAGTGTTTTATCATTAATTTACAATCACAGTGTTTTATCTTTGTTAGAAAGTTTTTTTTAATTTTAAAACATAAATGTTTACCATACTTTAGTTTATAGATACTGTTACATATCAAATTTAAATTTATATTTCACAATTATATCTAATATTCGCGCTTAAAAATAGTATTTTATAAATAGTACTTAAAAATAGTATTTTATAAATATTTTTGTTTAAAAAATGGCTAAGACTACAAAAAGCTTAATGCTATAAAAAACGAGAAATCCATAGTAACCAAATGAAAAAATGTTTTGAAAGGCCTGAGTTATCTCAAAACTCAGTCATGAAGCAATAGTACCTTGTCAGTATGTTTATGTTATCTTAATTATTAATTGCCTGCATTAATTTTCACTTTGCAATCAGAAAAATTTGAAATAAAAATTAAAATGAAAAGTTTATAAATTTGTTTATATATTTGTTTTTAGCGCAAAAAGTAAACTTATGCGTATAAAATTGCGTTAATAATATTTAAATAATACAAGATGTAAATATAGTTTTGTTTTCACCAATTTTTAGTTTTTTTGTTGAGTTGTTATATAAATAGCCATTTTGCCCTCATCATTTTGCTGATTACGTTTCAATAATTTTTCCATTGCTTTTTCAACTCTTTTTAAATTAAGCATATGAGTTTTTTCTAAAAAAAATTTAAAATTCTTATAAATTTTAAAACGTTCTTTCAACTCTTAATAACATTGTAAAATTTTTAAATAGGGGAAAGGTGCCTTTGGCTAAGGCTTAACTTTGAAGCTTTATTATTCAGTACCCTGAAGACCAAGAATAAAGGTTTTGATATGGGTACATTCCTTGTCACATGTAGAACAATAATAAACCTAGGAATTTTCATCAGTTTTGTTTTTTTATTAGTCATTATTATTTAAAAAAAGCACTAGTATGCCACTATATGGAACTACTGCTCCTATGATGGCATAGGTGAGGATGGGACTGGTTAGCATCTAAGGTAACTTTGCGATTTTATTCAACCTTAGAATCTTCCTTCAGAAATGCCAGAAATTACACGTAACCATCCTAATTTACCATTTCGTGCTACACAGCAGCAGTGTAGAATTTTGCGCATGTGCATAAGAGATATTAGGTTTTGTGTAATTTTTGAACCAAAAATTTTTTAGTGAAGTAAATATTCCTTTTTAGTTCACTAACAACTAGTTGTTTTAATGAAAAAAAAAGGTTTTTCTAAATCGTCAATATTGCAACACATCTAAATCGTCAGTATGCTATCATAGGAAGAAATCATCGTTTTCTTTTAAACAAGCTGTGTCTGCCTAGTTCAAAAAATAAAATTAAAATAAGTATTCCACTAAATGCACAAAACTTAGATATATAATACATGAAAATTTCATTTCTGCCCAGTTAATAATAAAAATCACAATCTGAAATATATAAAGGGATTAAAAATACAACAATCGATTATTGTTGATAATAAAAGCAATATTTGTGCATAATGGACGTATTTTTAATAAAACTAATGTAAGCTCAGTACAGGCATGTTTGCCTAATAACGTTTTTGCCATAACCAATAGTGCCTTCTCCCTACATAAAAAGATTTGATCAAATTGATTTCTTAACGGAAAGTTACTTTTATATACGGAAGATTATATGTAGAAGACGGAAACATAAAATAAAAAATCATTAAAAACTTTGAGCCTATTTTATCTACTTCATTTCAGTTATAAGCAATGCGTGATCGAAATCATGCTTTTTTCCTCAGTATTTACCAATAGTGAACTTCATTTTTTACCTCTACGTCACAGTAAAACTATGTATAATAATGTCAACTCGTATACGATAGTATAGCAAGTGGGTACAGAACGGTCTTTAGACGTCTTATCTATTTGTGACATCTTTGTATCATAGTATAGAATTTATTTAGGTCTGTGCCCGGTAGGATAGAATTTGCCTTTAAGATTTAAAACGAAATATTAGGCCATATCTACTTCTTTTCTGCCTTAGGATAGGGCTATTACTTTTTCCTTGGAGAATGAAATTAAAGTTTTACCTTTAAATAATTCAAAGCTGCGGTCTCCTACAGACAAAAGGACAATACTAATCTTACCTTACCAGAACATTGTAATTGTATTTACAATTTTATTTTTAAATCTACAAAAAATAGACGCTAAGAAACTTTAATTCTTTAAAAATGAACCGTTTATAAAAAAAAAAAAAAAATTTTCCATCTATTTTGATCTGTTTTATAACCTTGACATCATTGTTAACAACAAACTCAAATGGTGGGATCAAGTTACACACGCTGTTGCCAAGGCTAGAAAGGCACTAGGTATCTTGAAAAGAACTTTTCATTATTGGGATATAAACAGCTTTCGCATACTCTATACAACTTATGTACGGCCACACGTCGAGTTATGCTCTTCCGCATGGAACCCTTATTATCGCGGAGACATTGACGCTCTTGAAGCAGTACAAGAAGAGCCACTAAACTCGTACCTCATCTCAAGCCATTAAAGTATCGTCAAAGACCGCTTTAAATATTCAATCACTAGAGGACGGCGTAGAGGCAACCTCATCCAATACTTCAAGATGTACCACGGCATTAACAAAATTGAGCTCCGTAGACCAAATCAGTTAGCTCCAGCACTAAGTGTCGTACCTGACTAGAAATTCCTTCTGAATTCCATTATATCTGTCGTATCGGTTTCAACGTGACGTATCAGTTTTAACGTGACGTATCGGTTTTAACGTGCCGTATCGGTTTTAACGTGACGTATCGGTTTCAACGTGACGTATCGGTTTCAACGCTTTTAAAAATAAACTAGACCTACTTTTTCATGAACTTTTACAAAAAAAAAAAAAAAAAAAAAAGAAAAAAAAGAACTGACATTTATCACACCGGGGCTTCGTTAGTTGCCCTGCTTGCAAATGCTTAGCCATTTGTAATAACTTACTTATATTATTATCATATTATTTCTCTTTTTGCTTTTGAAACAAAATTCCAATTATTTATTCTTTCTATGAATAATTATTTTCAATGCTAAAAACTTTTGGAACTTGTTAAAAACGTTGTACAACTGTTATTTAGACAAAGTTTTAAACCAAAAAAAAAAAAAAAAACACAATATAAAACATATATTCCCAATATTAAAAAAAAAATCATTAGAAAACAATGAAAAATATTCAATAGAGTTTAAACTATGAATAATAAATAAGCTCAAAAAAGATTAAAAATTTTTTATTATAAATGAATTAAAATAAAAAATACAAGAAAAATGAAGTTTCAGATCGCTATTAGCTGCTAAAAAGGTGAAAAGATAATAAAAAGATGGTAAAAAAGAGGAACCTTATTTAGAACTTTAATTTTCCTTTGAAAATAAATATTTTTTATATAATAGAACCCCGATTTTATTTTTTAAAATTGTATTAACTCCTTTTCTTTATTCACAGGGGGGAAAAGCGAATAAAAAAATTTTAAATTTTTTTGTAAGGTTTATAAAAAAATTGTATTGTCATGAAAAAACATTTTACATCTTCATAAGGTTTAATTTAAAAGCATTTTAAATAGAAAAATGAAGTAAAAATGAAATAAAAAAAAATTAAATTAATCTAGAAAAATAGAACCAGAATCATTTCCTTGAATGTTTTTATAATAAATGTTATCATAAATATTTTATATAAGTAATAATGAATGAAATAAATTTTATTTTATTATCAATGAATGAAATATATTTATTTTTAGAGAACTACGTTATGTCAAGTTATGCAAAAAGACTTTTTTTATTTATAGTCTAATAATAATAAAGTCATAAAATAAAACACTTGATATACATGTTGCAGAACATAAAAACGCAAAATTTAAGCAAAAAATTTAGGAAAGCATATATTGTAATACTACCCCACCAAGGCAGATAGAAACAAGTCACCGAAACGTGATTTCGTTAAAAATCTATTTTAAAAACCTCCTGGATTCATTTTTAAACAATAGTGGTTAAAACACTCGAAAATTCATCAGCAATGATGATGCATTATAAATGCTTTCTATTGGCTGAATTCATTTTTCCTTATTTTTACTAGTATTGCTGGGCCATTATTGGGTTATACACAGAAACTATGCAAAGTAAAACCAATTTGTATATACCATAATGTGGGACTACATTTCAACAAAAACTTTTCTTTTAAAAACTGTATTCAATCATAAAGTTCTTGAATTTGTAATATAAATATATTGTAGCCATTCTAAATATTAAACATAAAATATACAAACTTTTTTTAAAATAAACTTTATAAGGATTTATAATAGACTAAGTTTATTTAGTTTTAAAAACTAAAAAAGAGATTTTTGGTATGCACCAATATATTTTGGCATATATCAAAAATGGGAATTCAGCATTAAAAAGGTCTGTTAGGTATTAAAAGTATCTATATTGTTTATTAGTTAAACATTTACCTTAGCACCAATTTGATTTCCACACTGTCCTGTTTGAACGTGTACAATTTCACGCATTGCTGAGCGTTCTCCTAAAGATGTCTGACAACAAAAATCTTCTTTAAAAAGTAGATTTCTAAAATCTTTTTTTTTTTTTAGCAATGTAATATATAACATAAAACCAAAAAGACTGTCGGGGATAGTAAAATTACCGGGGGATTTAACTTTGCGCAACTTTTTTTGTTTTTATTTTTTATTTTTCAAGTCAATTTTTGTTTAAGCAAAAAAAAATTGCATCTTTATTGCCTTATTAAATAATTTTAAATAAAAAAAAAAAAACTTAAAAAAAAAATCAATATTTAAATGTACGCTGTAACTTTTGCCTCCATATACAATTTTCCATATGTTTTATTGCTTAAATAAAAAGTTTTCTCTAATCGCAAAAAAAATTTTCAATTTATAAATTATTAAAGACTTATTAACCAATCAATATTTTAACGCCTTTCAGGTATAATTTGATTGGTAGAAACAACCTTACTCTAATTGATAAATACGTTCTTTAGTTAAAATACCAACTTCTTTACCTATACAAACTTTACTTAAAATGGGTTTTGATAACTCTAAAATGTTTTGATAAATCCTTTATGTATTTTTTCAACTTTTAAAAATATAAATTTTTTCATTTCTTATAATTACTAAATTAATATTTATTCTGTTTTCTACATGATCCCTCATTATCCTTACTTATGAGTAAAACTGCTAAAGTTATTATGAACGAAACGTGTGTGTGCGCGCGCATCTGTACGTGCGTGTAATTGTTGATAAGCTTTAACTCAATAAAACTTCAACATAATAATTTTTCATTGATTTTTATTAGTATAGATTCTTTTTTTTAATTTTCATTCTACTAATTTACTTCTAAAAAAAAGGTTTTCCACTCTTTTGCCAATTTTGTATAAAACTTTCATTAAAGATTATTGTTTTGCATCGGAACCCAAATTTTTGTTTTGCATCGGAACCCAAATTTTTTAAAAATAATATTACAGAAGTTATTATTTTAACTTCTGTAATATTATTTAAAAAATATTGTACAGGTAAAAACAAAATTTGTTTATGCAGAAACAAATTTTATTTGTTAAGATAAAAAAACGCAAATAATAAAATTTTATTTTGTTAAACAATATTTATATTTTTAAAAATCTTTTAAAATAGATTTGCCTATTGGTCTTTTATTCACCTTTCTTGATTCTTTCCTTTCAGTTTTTTATTATTATTATTATTATTTTTTATTTATCAGACAAATATTTTGCATAGAAATAATAACAAAAACGTTGATAGACAAAATATGTCTTCTTTTGATTACGAAAACGTTTTTGGAATACGAAGCAGACATATTTTAGATATAACAAGGGATTGTTATTCTTATCAAAAAATCAAGACTTTTGTTAAAAATAATTTGGTTTTCTTTTTACCATTTCTTAGTTATTCCTTTTCGACTTTTTGTTTAAACTTTATTTGATGTTCAGACATTTGTCTGATTTTATAAAGAAAACAGTTATAAAAGTATTTAACAAATAATATCAACTAGTTGTTCAAAAAAGTAAAATACGGGTCTAGGTAAAAGTATTCCAAACCGATCTCTATTTATATACTTATTCAGCTATTTATCTATCGACCTCCATTTCTACAATCATTATTTACTTTAGTGTTAATTAAACGGTAAAAAATAATTTATTTTAATATTGCTCCTAGAGCAAAAAAAAATTATATGCACTTTTTTCGCATACTGGAGCTTATTAAAGCTCTTGTTTATTTATTTTGAGCGACAGTCTGAATTTAACATATTTTAAAATAATAACTTTAAATCTAAAAACTATAAACCTTTACTGCATTAAATTTACCTAACTGATTTCCTTTTTTTGCCCTTTTACCCTAATTGTTAATATCATTTATTTTAACTTTTTTTTATTTTTTTATTGTGTTTTATGAGAAAAAAAAAAATGGTTAAGTAAGAAAATAATTTCTTTGATATTTTGTAAAATTTCCTTGAATCTATCAGTTTAACATAATTGGTTGGGAATCTACAACCTTAACATAAGTCACCTCTAACATAGATGGCTATTTCGTGATATTTCTCAAGGAATTTTTCAAAGTTTAATGTTATAATAAAATTTCAACCATTTATTAAAAATAATTTATTTACAAAACAAATGACGACCCGGAAAATAGCTCACAGGGAGTTAGATATGTCTAATAAGCTAACTCTGTCTATTAGACTTTTCTTCAATAAATTCTGATTCTGAAAAATAGACTTTGAATTAATCTGTTTTTCACACCATTTTTGGCGGATTATTAAATTATGATGTAAATTTTAGCAAGCAGAGCTATCAAGGAGGTGTGCGCGTGTGTGTCTATGTGTGAATGAGGTGTATGTGTTGTTAGATGTTAAAGGGGCTTAACATGGTTTTAATGACTGCCAAGAGTTCCGTGTACGCAGTAGTAGGCAACACTGCTACTATTAATTTCAGCATTATTATATAGAGATTTTATTCAAATTTATCTTCAAATAATATACTGCATCAAAATCAATACTGATTTAAAAAAATTAATTCAACCAAACACGTTATTCAACCGAACACGTTATACTCCAAATTACCCGCAATACTGCTGAATCTTTTGAAAAACGTCAATATACGTTAGTGTGTTGTAATTAGTGCTTCCAATACCAATATCATTTTTCAATACCGGTATTATGTTACTGAATAATTTCAATACCGTTATAATACCGGTATTAAACTCTTTTTTTTAATTTATCATAATATGTATAAAATGTCAACTTAATAGTAAAGATTTTATTGATTTATTAAGCTTATTTATTTTATATCAAAATTACTGACTTCATAATTTTTTTGTTTTTTTCTCCTTTGTAAAATAAGCCCGTAAGAAACAGAGGGCGTTCAGAGTATTATCCTCAAGAGATGATCGTAATTTTGTGATAATGTTGCCACTTGATGAAAATCGACGCTCCGACTCAACACTTATTGGCTTTACAGTTTTCAAGTATTCGTAGCAATTTTCCAAATATACGCTACAATTTCCTCCTTCTTCGAAAACTGTCTTCTTATTACATATAATTTTTGATAAATTATTTGAAACATTCAATCTTACCTTTTTTGTACAGAAAAAGTCCGGTGCTACCAGTATTCTGGAATCGGTACTGCTGGTATTGGAAGCACTAGTTTTAATCGATTTATCAAAAGCGTTTGATACCATTGACTACAAAAACTTATTTAGAAAAATGAAGTATAACTTATTTAGAAAAATGGAGTATGGAATTAAAGGAAATATTTTAATGATGCTTAAAAGTTATTTAAGGGGCAGTTGTATTACTGTAAACAATTTATTTACAGTAATACAACTGCCTCTTCCAATTTATTAGATATAACATGTGGAGTCCCTCAAAGTTCTATAATAGGAACTCTTTTCTTTCTAATTTAAATTAATGATCTCCTTAAAGCCTCAAATTTTATGACGGTCATGTTTGCCGATGATACTAATCTCTTTTTATCTCATAACAAAATAAAACGTTATTCCGAAATATGAACATTTAATTAATAAAAGTTTCTGACTGGTTTAAAATGAATAAGCTGTCACTAAATGTTGAGAAAACTAAATGGATACTTTTTCATCAAACTTCAAAAAAAAAAACTACTGCCTCCTGTCATGCCCTTACTTTTTATTGACAATGTTCTAATAAAAAGAGAACTAACTTTTTAGGATTCAATATTGATGAAAATCTTAGTTGGAAGTCTCACATTTATTTGTTGTGCCACAGAGTTGATCGAAATGTAGGAGTAATGTTTAAATAAACATTATTCCTATATGTTACTTTAAATAAACACAGTTTAACACAATTATATTTCTCTTTAATCCATTGCCATATAAATTATGTAAATATTGCCTGACGTAATACCAATAAATCTAAACTGCTACCTCTTTATCGTCAGCAGAAGCATGTTGCTCGGCTTATCACTTATAATGATCGATTCGCTCATGCCAAACCATTATTATTTTAAATGAAAATTCTTAATATTTATCAATTGAATATTTTTAATATACTTTGTTTTATTTACAGATTAAAACCATCGCCTGTTTTATTTACAGATTAAAACCATCTCCTGTTTTTTTTTCAAAATCTATATACCTTAAAAGATTAAAATAAATATAACTTAAGAAATGATAATCTAATTGTTTCGTAGACTTTCTTTTAAAAATATGGTGCATATGCCAAGTAATCAATTTTTTTTGTGAAAGACCTTTTTTAAAAAACATTGTTAAAAGTTTATTAAGTAAACAAAACAGTACCTTAACCTATTTCGGGTACTAATCTAAGTATGTTGGGTATTAATTTATGTAGGGTAGTAAAACAAGTTTCACTTTTTTTTAATGACTTTTATATTGATCACAGAAACTTTTAACTACTCAGGTTTGACACAGTACGTACATCTTGCGTCACCTAATTTATTAAATTGTACATCACCTAATTCATGTAATTATGACATTTGTAATTTAAAATATTTTAATAGGTCTACTAATTTAGTTTTCTTGCGTAAAATTTTCTGTAAAAGAACTGGCTCATTTTTAAAGAAAACGCCATAAAGACGCCATAAACGCCATAAATGATGTAAAATTTAAAAAAAAAACGCCATAAAGACGCCATAAACGCCATAAATGATGTAAAATTTTAAAAAAAAACGCCATAAAGACGCCATAAACGCCATAAATGATGTAAAATTTTCTCTAGAAGTTTCCAATTAAATGAATCAAGCTGTCCAGCTTTTTATTATTATTATAGTTTTCCTGTCATTTTATCGTATTATTGTAATTTTTTTATTTAAATTGATTTTATATATATATATATATATATATATATATATATATATATATATATATATATATATATATATATATATATATATATATATATATATATTACAACTAAGTAGTAGAACTAAATTTATTTTTTTAATTGTTAATTTTCCTTTAATATGTAAAGAAGTTTTAGATTCTAGTTCACTAAAGTAGTTTTAAACCATAAACAAATTAAAACTTCTGCTTTATTCGATCGATGACTTCTGTGAAAGTAACTAGCTTTTCCAGTGTTGTTTGGCTTTATCATTCTTTACATAGAACGTCTTATTTATTTCCAGCTGATGTTATATTATAGATAAAACATAATGCTTTAGAAATTGTTTCTTTTTTTTTATACTGATACATTCAAGTAATATTACCGAACCTGTGAGTTGGCCAGTTACCCTTAAGTATAATTTTGACGGCTTTCTTTTGTAGTTTTTCTAGGATATTTAAGTTATTGCTATTTACATCAAGAAAAATAAAGTAATCATAGTGTAGAGCAATAATCGTTTAATTACCTCAGTAATTGTAATTTGTGTAATTATTCTAAGTAATTGCTTGAAATTTTACCAATTGGTCCCTTGAGTTAAACTTTATTTACGCTAGCAAGAGCGTCCAGCATTCTTTGCAATTTTACTCGATACACATTGATGTGTTAAGTAAAATTAAATTTGTAATCTATTTAAATTTTTAAATATTTCATAATTGATAAATAACTTCAGTCAATTTTTTTCAAAATAACCAGTACCGACATGGATATACGAACAAACTGTTTTTGAATATATTCATTGTCTATATTTTTTATATAACTTTAACTATTCTTATTGTATATTACTGAATATTCTTGTACTTATTGTGCCTGTTAAAAGATCAAAATTGTAACCATCCTAAACTCACTCATATTCTTTATTCTTCATTTTATTGCTTTTATTCATCATCATCTGTTTCTTCTTCTTCATTAGCAGTAGTGTCTTGACACTGTTGATATTCACAAAGCAAATCATTCATGTTTGATTCAGCTTCAAAAAACTCCATTTCATCCATACCTTCACCAGTGTACCAATGAATAAAAGCTTTTCGTCGTAACATAGATGTAAACTGCTCACTTATACGTTTAAAAATTTCTTGAATAGCAGTACTATTTCCTATGAATGTTGCAGACATTTTGAAACCACGCGGAGCAATATTACAAACTGCTGTTTTAACGTTATTTGGAATCCAATCAACAAAGTACGAACTGTTTTTGCTTTGAACATTAAGCATTTGCTCATCTACTTCTTTCATTGAAATACGGCCACGAAATATTGCTGCTACTGCTAAATATCGACCAAGACGTGGATCACATGCAGCCATCATATTCTTAGCATCAAACAATTGTTGTGTAAGCTCGGGAACAGTTAAAGCGCAATAATGCTGGCAGCTACGACTCGTGATTGGTGCAAAACCAGACAAAAAAAAGTGAAGACGTGGAAATGGCACCATGTTTACTGCAAGTTTTCGAAGATCAGCATTTAGCTATAAACATACATTATTAATTACATTTAAATAAACATATATTATTAATTACATTAAAAAATTAGGGTTAGGGTCTAACCCTAACTTTTTTATTATTAACAAACAATTTAAAAAAGTTATGGAAACAAAATTTTTTTCAAAAAAATTACGTAAATATTTACTTTTTTTGTTGTTGTTAAAAAATTAGGGTTAGGGTCTAACCCTAATTTTTTTATTTATTTTTAACCCTAACCCTAACCCTGACAGTTTTTAAGCCATAAAATTTAAACTAGTAATCTTTATATAAAATGATTATTGTTTTTTAATGTTTTATAAAGTTTCGCTTCTTTTCAGACCCAGCATAATATGCTTTAGAAAAACTTTTTTATTTAGAATATTAGGGACCCATATGATGTTTAAGGGTCTTGAGCAACCCCTAAAAATTTTTTTTATTCAAAAATATTTTTAATTTAGTAATTATTTATTTTAATTTTTATTCAGCAATTTTGTGTGTGTAATTTAATAAATTATATTATAATTAATATAATCAATAAACAACAATCTAAAGGTTTTTTAAGAACAATATCTAAAAAATAAAACCAATATTAATACAAAATGTTTTAAATTTACCTGACCAGGGAATCTTAGACATGTGGTTACACCACTCATAGTTGCAGACACAAGATAATTCAAGTCACTATATGTAGGTGTGGTCAGCTTAAGTGTTTGAAAGCATATATTATAAAGAGCTTCATTATCAATGCAAAAAGTTTCGTCTGTATTTTCAACCAACTTGTGAATTGATAAAATTGCATTATATGGTTCAACAACGGTGTCTGACACTTTGGGTGAAGGAATAACACTAAACGTGTTCGTTATTCGATCATTATATTCCTCACAAATTTTAGAAATTAGAAGTGTTCCCATACCAGATCCTGTACCACCTCCAAGGGAGTGTGTAAGTTGAAATCCTTGCAAACAATCACAACCTTCAGCTTCTTTTCTAACAACGTCTAAAACGGAATCTACAAGTTCTGCACCTTCAGTGTAATGTCCTTTGGCCCAGTTATTACCAGCACCACTCTGTGCAAATACAAAATTATCGGGTCTAAAAATTGCTCCAAATGGTCCAGACTTCATTGAATCCATAGTTCCAGGTTCCAAGTCAACAAGAATAGCTCTTGGAACATATTTACCACCTAAATAATTGTAAAAACACAGACTTAAAAATCACAGTAAGTATAAATCACTCATAAAAGCTGTTAGCAGAGGCGATTTTACGGGGGTGGGTGGGAGGGGGTGGGGGAAAGGGGTGTGTGTGAAGGGGGCGTAAAACCCTCTCAAAGAAGGAGATTTTAAAGTTATAGTCGGTTTTTCCATGAATTTAGACGGCTAGTCGGATATTAGACACCATTGAGTCGGTTAAATTTTCGTGTGGAGGACCTAGTCTTTTTTTTTTTAAGAAGCCAGTCGATAATTTTTGACAAACAAAACAATCGCGTTTCATAATTTCATATCGCGGTCCCGATCTTTATAATAAACTGATATCCAAAAATGTCATAATTACAAAATTAGATAACATAAGTTGTTTGAAAATCTTACTAAAAAAATTCGTTCTAAATATAAACAATTATTTGAACTTACACTAAACTAAAACTGAAATTAGAACCAAAGTTAGGGTTGAAAACAAAACCCAAAAAACTTCAATAATATATATTAATATAAAAAAATCAATATAAATCAATAATAATTATATTTATGCCTAATAATATATTTATGTGTACTATGTGTACTACAAACAGCATTTATAAACTTTACATTTTATTTAGATTTTATTCTAAGTGAATCCAATAAAAAATGAAGTATTTTGTGAAACTAGAAGCGTAGTAAAAAATATTTTAAGTACAAGCGGTTTCTTAATAAAAAGACCATTAATGATACCGTGCAATCATATTTTTTGTATTCTATAAAATTGTAATATATAAATATATATATATATATATATATATATATATATATATATATATATATATATATATATATATATATATATATATATATATATATATATATATATATTAAATATATATATATATATATATATATATATATATATATATATATATATATATATATATATATATATATTTAATATTATATATTTTAAAAACATTATAGCATTTTACCAGTTATGTAGAATAACAACATTGTAAAGGTAAAAGAACAAAAAAAAGAAAGGAAAAAAAAAAATCCCCCCTCATCCCCCTCATTTTATTCGTAGAATCACCCCTGGCTGTTACTTTAAAAAATTATTAAATTTTTTTTTAATTACCTATTGATTCTGCGTAGTATACATTAACTCTTTGAAGTTGCAAATCTGAGTCACCGTTGTAACTACCAGTGGAATCAATACCATGCTCATCAGAGATTACTTCCCAAAACTAAATTATACAAAAATTTTTTTTTTTAAACTTTTCATTAAGAATAATAGCACGCAACCTCAATCTCTCTACGGTTGTTCAAAAAAACTTTTTACTGTCAGTTAGAGTTTTTCTAGAACGCTCCAATTTCTTTCCAGATTTCCAGACCAAAACATCATTAACTTTACTTTAACACTGTTGATAACACTAAATTTAGAAGTTTTATGCTCGTACTTAAATAATTCAAAAATGATATTCACATCACCTATTCACAAGAATACTCATTAGTTCAAACCACGAAAAATCACAGCTTCATGCACCACCCCCCCCCCCCCCCACGAAAAATCACAGCTTCATGCACCAACTTTGTTTTTAACAAAGGAATAAGATAAAAAGTTCTTGGTGTAATGATCCCAATAATTCGAACCCAGTGGATACTCTTAAATTGAAGTGGACGCAAAAGTATTAACAATTCGCACTAAAAACGTTTTTTTTTAAAATGTGCTAAAAATATACTTTTTATAAAACATTTTTTATTAAATAAAAATCAAAATACAAAAAACTAATCAAGCAAACAAAGTAAGCAAGCAAAGAAATCAAGCAAACAAAGTAAGCAAGCAAAGAAATCAAGCAAACAAAGTAAGCAAGCAAAGAAATCAAGCAAACAAAGTAAGCAAGCAAAGAAATCAAGCAAACAAAGTAAGCAAGCAAAGAAATCAAGCAAACAAAGTAAGCAAGCAAAGAAATCAAGCAAAAAAAGTTTTATTTTGAACATTTTTTAAATTTATTTTTTTAAAAAATTTAGTATTAAATATCTATTCAAAGTGATAAAAACAAACAGTTTTTGAATCATTATTTTTATTGAAATTCTGGCTAAAACATCTTTGTTTTTAGCGTGTTTAGGTTTTTACTTATCATTACATATTGTACCAAATTACAAAGTAAGGAAAGTTGTTAATAATTGAATTGATTACATTAATAATTACTATCTTCTCTAGTCTATTCTTTTCCAAGGTTATTGACCTTATTTTTTTTATAAACTTAACTTCTCAATTTTATAACGTTTCATTACGATTTTTACAAGTACTTTTTCATTTTAACGTCAAGACGTTTACCCACTTAAATTTGCAGGTAAAAGGAAAACCTCATTTTTTTGCACAAGTTTTTTGTATCTTTTTACTCAAAAAAAATGTAAAAACGAAGATTGCTCCTCAAAAGTAATAGAAAAAATATGCATGTTAATAAAGCCTTTATAAAATGAAAAGTTAATAAAAACAAATCTAAAAAGTCAATAAAACAAAATTAAAAATTAAGACTAATGGTGCACCAAAGAATTCTTTTTGAAAATTATGTATGGTAAATTTTATACATAGCAAACCCAAGGGCTGAATTATTTACACCTTTTTTATTTGTTCTTTTATATTATCAACAAATTTTTGTTGAAGAAAAAATAAAAAAATACTGATACGAAAAGTTAAAAAATTTGTTTTTTAACTTTAAGACTGTCATTTTCTTCAAATGAAATAAAATTGAAAATTTACTAGTACTTGTAAAAGAATTGTGTACTAAGTAGTAAGATAAATTGAAAAAGAATTTTTTTTTTCCAAATTTATTTTCATTAGGAAGTCGTTTTACTTTAGAAAAAAAAAATACAATTACATAAAATTTGTTTGCCTTTTATAGTTATTTTTAGTTCAGAACCTAGTACTAACATTATAGTTCTTAATCTCTAATTCCCTAACCTATGACGAACAAAGATTGGAGCTGGTTTCTTTTAAGATTACGAAACGTGGAAAGAAAAAGAATTATTTTTTTGTAAGAACATGAACAAAAAGTAATAGTTTTGAAAAACTTTTTAACTTAGCATTTCGTTTTATTTTTTTTTTTTACGGTTCCAAAACAAAGAATTGAATTCCTCGAGCAAATTCTAGGAATCCAAAGCGTATCTAGATAAAACCGAATCTAACTTTGGTTTTAGTTGGCTACATGTGGTAATTTTTTAAACAAAACCGTTTATTGGTTAGTTTGGAGTTTCTTCGGATTCCTTTAGCCATATATACTAACTTTTGAACTATATTGGTTTCGGTATAGTTTTGAAGTTATTACATGCAGCCAATTAAATCCGAAAAATTCCTTTTAAAATAAGTTTAAATATAACTTTTTAACGTAATTTGCATAATTAGCGTAATTTTAACGTAGTTCTGTGGTTGTAGTTTGCAAAATGGATTTAATTAATGAAATAGTTGGTAATGTTGCTAAGACAATCTTGGTTTATTTTGCTAAAATATTTAATATATATTCAACTCTATGTAATTTTTATCTCTCATGTAAATGTTTGTCTTCAAGAGGCTTGAAATCATTTTTTATGTTCAATGGAATAACAATTATAGACAATACACACTCACATGAAAGTCGTTAAAAAAAAGAAAAAAATGTCCACATACAGTTAAATAAATGCAGTTAGATAAATGTCCACATAGAGTAACATCAGTTTATGATTCAACTTTTAAAAAGTATTTAAAATCAAAAAGCAAACTACAATTTACAAAATTATAATATAAATTACAAATAATATTAAAATATTCAAATTATAAGCGCTTCATTAAAGAAAATGAGTAAATATTGTATTATAATGTCAGGATAAATAAAAATAGTAATTAAAAACGACAGATTTTACAATAGCAATTTTTTGCATACCAATTTTTGATATGTTTTTTGAACACCTCAGAACTTTTAGAGGACCTGGTCTTGTTATCTAGAGTGTTCCATAACGAGATGGCTCTAAATATAGTACAACACGTATCCTTATATTTGGAACCATTTGAAGGTAGAATCATTTTTTTGCTACAACGAAGTTTGAAAGGAAGGTTTTTTGTAATAAATAAACCCTTCATAAATTCTGGATTTAGACAATTAATTGATTAAAAAACTTCTATCATAAGAAAGCGCAAATTTCTTAAGTGGATCCTTGGACTATTATCAAAACTTAACAATTCATCAAGAGATAAGTCAAGCCTTTTATGGACAATACAAAGAGCTTTTTTATGAATTCTATTTATAAGTTTGTCATTGTATTTAGAAAAAAACATCCAAATTAGAAGACAATAAGAAAAATTTGACATTATGAAGGCGTTAAACAACAAGGTAGCTTTATTACGGGATAAAAAATTTCTTATGCGTGAAAGAGCAAAACATTTACCATTAGCTTTACTGCAAAAGTATTTAATGTGTTCTCCAAAATTTAGATTCTTATCAATTGTAACACCAAGTAGTTTCACCCTTTTTTCTCTTTTTTCGGAGTTAAACATCCTGAAGAGTTGAGATAAGGGTTGAGACATGGGTTGAGACTTGGGTTAAGACAGATTGTATGTTAATATAAATAATCTAGAAAAAAATCTTAGAAGATTTTTTAATTTAGTAAAATCAATGTTGAAAAGAATAGAATTTCTTTAAGGTTTTTAAAAAATGAAGTCAAACTGTTCGTGAGGAAATCATAGTGGAAAGATTGCTACCGCATATGCAGTCACGTTCAGGTAGACCCTGGAAAAATTGGAAAGACATACGGAAATGATCTAAAAGACGGAGAATTTTTGATCTCTTTGAACATGTACCTCAAGCTCAGTTACCTTGGCAACTGTAAAAAGTGCAAAGTCCAAACCTGATTTAAAGACTTGCGTTTGTAATCAAGGAGTTTACGAAGAAAGCTTCAGAAAAATTGTAAAGACTGATATCCCAATTCCAATGACACAGCCAAATGCTCTTGCATTGAAGGTTCACTGTGACCTCGGTGACAATCAATACCAGTGATAACTTGAATATTAGCCAAATGTCCCCTTCAAGATATGATAAACCATACACTGTCGAGGATTTAAGAAGTATTAGATACTAAGATGAATACTATTTCTCTCTCTAAAAAGGATTTAAATGGAGTTTTTTTATTTAAAGTCTGGTTTTGATGGAGCGTCAAGTCAGAGTGTCTATAGGCAAATGTATAAAGAAAATTCTCTATCTGATACTCTGAAAAATGAAGAACCTCTTTTTCATACTGGAGTATTCCACTAAGATTAATCATCGATGACAATATAAATTGGATTAATTCAAGACCCTTTAGCTCTCATTTCTGAAGAGATCTTCAATATTTTACAATAAAATCAACAGAGTTTAGCACATGATTTCACCAAGAGTATTAGTTTGAAAGATGATCAAATCGAAGAACTCATTTTTGAATTCTTAGATTGTAACTCTCTCTAAGTAAGTTAAAGTATCTAAAAGTTTTTTTTACACAGTTAGGTATAGCTCTTGGAATTTTAGCTTTTTTCCAAACATTATTCACTCTTGAATGACGAGATTTGGGTTTTTACTAACAATTAATTTAACTTGATTTTTAGCGAATGCTAAAAAAAGTACTGTAAGAACTTGGCAGTTAGACGGTAACTTTGCGTCTGTTATATGATATTTCACATTACCATATATATATATATATATATATATATATATATATATATATATATATATATATATATATATATATATATATATATATATATATATATATATATATATATATATATATATGTATATATATATATATATATATATATATATATATATATATATATATATATATATATATATATATATATATATATATATATATATATATATATATATATATATATATATATATATATATATATATATATATATATATTGTGCGGTACAGACCTCAGAAAAAACTCAAGATCTCGCATATAAATAAATGATCATAACTAAATTATTCAACTGCTTAGCATATAACTTGATTAATATTTTATTTGTAATGCAGTCTGGTTTCATATATTCAATTGATTTGAAAATTTTAAAAAAATGATGGCGCAAAATTATAAATAATAATAATATAATTATAAATTATTTCAGTTTTGTTCAACAAAAATCGACGATGTACTGAATCTTAATTTATTATCAAAACTTTGTTTTATTACCACAATTCTGAATTGCTTTAAATATTTAATTTGGCATACTTTCCAAATGTTTTCTGACATTAACAAGAGATATGTTCTTTCAAACATCTAAGTTTACCTTTTTCAATTTATCGACATTTGAATAGTGTTTCCCTTCTTCATAAACACGTCTTACTAAGATGCTTGATATGTTTTCAATTGGTTTTATATCGGGTGAGAGCGCTTGTCATTCCAATAATTGAATTTTCTGCTGTAAACCATAAAATAATTGAAGCATTATCTTGCTGGAAAATAAACATCATGCTTCCAAATTTTCGTGAACTATCATTTAAATGACAATGCAACAAATCTCTTCATCCTTAGACCTGTAGACTTCATCACCAGTCTTCATCCTTCGTCACCAGTCTTCATCCTTCATCTTTTAGTAGTAATAAAACAATTCGAAACTGTTTTCAAAATAAACAAACGCACACCGAATGGTTGCTCCTCCGCCTCCAATAGCTCTTCTTTTTGAAAATATTTTCTTTTTTAATTTCATGCCAATAATAATTAAAGCCATCAGGACTATCAAGATTAACTTTTTTTATTAGATCACACAATTTTCTGTTAAATGTTCCTTGGCCCATTAAAGACGAATGAAGAAAAGTGCTAGAGATGTGCATTTTTTTGCATATCTGAGAATGCCTTGCTTTTTAATTTCAAGATTTACTGTTCATTTTGAGTGTTTTAATCCTAAATCAGCGCTAATTTATCTCGCGGAGACTGGCGGCATGCACAATCCACCGCAGTTGGCAATCTGTAAGCAGTCAACTGCGACAGATTGCCAACTGCGACAGATTAGCGGTTTTCTACAAACACGATGCCTTATGCAGTAATTTGTTGAATCGTTTACGAAATAATTGATAAAACTTGGAGAGCGTCTCAGCTTGGAAGCGAATGTCCTGTTTGATAAACAAAATGACCTGTTTTAACCTTCTTCATCTGGGAGTGTAATTTCTCTTAGCATTTGTTAAAATGTATTTAATTTAATAAATTTAACTTGAAAACGGAATGTGCTGCTAATTATTTTATAGCTTTTGGTGTAAATTAGATAAGCAGGGAATATCTATGCAGCAGGGTTCGACGCGAGTTCTGGGTGTATTATTTATAATCGGTAAATAAGAAGGTGTGAACTTCTTAATTAAATGGACTGTCACTGTGCACTGTGTTTAGTGCACTGTGGCTAAACAGTAAGCACTTCTTTATGCACCTTTAATATGTTTATAAAGTAAATTTAAAAAGGTTTTAATAGAAAAACAAAGTAAAAATGAAATGAAGCAAAATTGAACCAGTCTAGAAACAAACGGAATACATTTAAAGTTTTTGCAATATTTTTTTAAACAATAATAAATGTTAACAAATGAAATATATTAATTTTTAGAGACCTACGTCACGTTTAAAGTTCTTGTAAAATCTAGACTTTCTCTTCCCGGTCTAAAGGTGAGTTTTCATTCATCAATTTTACGGGAACAGGAAAGGAAAGAAAAATAGTCACGTGGACATGCGTAGTATATGTTTTAATTTGTTAAATGGGAAACAACGCATGCTCACGTTATTATTTTTTGCTTTCCTTTCCCGTTCAAGTAGTAAAACGGATGAGTGGAAACTCACCTTAATTCTCTTTGAACTCATATAGATAAACGTTATGCACTAAAGCTATGCAATGTTTACGCAAATAAAAAAATTAACTTATCATAAATTGTAATAACAGATAGTAAATCGTATTTTATAAAGAAAAAAAAAAAATAATAATAATTCCATAAAAATTTAAAAAAATGTATTCAATTAAAAAATCTTTTTAAATACTTGAATATGTTACTTGAATATATTTTAACAATTAGGCATAAAAAATAAAAATTGCTTTTTAATAATAAACTATATCTATTTTTACCAAAACAAATAATAAAGACTTTTGGAGTTCGGCATTAAATAAGTCTGTTAGGTATTGAAAGTGTCTGTATTGTTTATTAGTTAAACATTTACCTTAGCACCAATTTGGTTTCCGCACTGTCCTGTTTGAACGTGAATAATTTCACGCATGGCTGAATGTTCAAATAAAGATGTCTGACAAGAAATTTTTTCAAAAATTTAAAAAAAAATAAATCTTTATTTTTATTTTAGCAATATAATATATAACATAAAACTAAAACTAAAATGTCAGGGAAAATAAAGTTACCGGAGGAAATAATTTTGCGCATTTTTTCCCCTTCAATTCAACTTTTGTTTACGCAAATAAAAAATTATATATATAGTTACATGAAATAAACTTAAAGGAAAATTAAAACATTCAAATTAAATATTTTAAATCTTAATTTTTGTAGAAATTTTTGCCTCCATATATAATTTTCCATATGATTTATTACTTACATAAAAAGATATCTCTAATCGTTAAGAAAGTTTAATTTATAAATTGTTAAAGACTTAATATTTAACCAATCACTATTTTAACGCCTTTGAGGTATTGTTTGATTGGTAGATTTGAAACAGCTATTTAATTGGTAAATACATTCCTTTATTTAAAATACCAACTTATTTATAGTATAATACTTCTAAAATGTTTTAATAAAACTTTTATGTATTGTTTCAACTTTAGAAAATATTGTCATCAATATAATGTAAATATTTATTTCAAAAGTTTTTTTCTACAATATAAATATTTATTTTGTCTTTTACCTGATCTTTGAGTATCCTTACTCATAAAACTGCAAAAGTTATTATGAACAAGACAAAAGGTGATAAGACACGAAAAACAGCAAACTTTGTCAATTTTATAAAAAACGTTTTCAGTGATTTTTATTATTAAATTATAAAAGAAATAGTAATACGTATTTTTATTAATTTACTTCTAAAACAATACTTTCTCTAATTTTTTTTTAGCTTTCACTAAAGTTCCGTTTCTTATTTTGCATAAAATGAAATTGTCATAAAATAATTTTTTTCATAATATTACATTAAGTTTACATTATTCCAATATCTTTTAAAACTTACACTATTCGATAGTTTAAGTGTCGTATAAACTTTTATCAGTTCTTTCCCTACAGATTTTATTTATTTATATTTCCTTTTATCAGATAGATTTTACACTTTTTGTACAGAAACAATCAAAAAAAGCTTAGACAAAACGTGTCTTCTTTTCATTACGAAAATTTTTGGAATATAAATCAGACATATTTTCGATGCGACAACGGTTTCTTATTCTTATCTACAAATCGAGACTGTTAAAATGATTTTGGTTACTTTTTATTTAAACTTTTGTTTTATGTTCAGACATTTGTCTGATTTCATAAATACAAAAAAAATTAAGTTTTAAAATTATTTTATAATAACAAAATTTAGTTTTAACTATCAAGACAAATGTCGACACTTTATGTTAACATTCTTAATCACCAATAATAAATGAAATGTAAATAACATTTGTTATTGAATATAAAAAATAAGTGAATTGAACATCAAAAAAAAATTGAATAAAAAATAAGTTGATGGTGAAAAATGAAAAAAAAAAAAAAAGATAAGGCTAGTTTGATTCCTTAAAATCTTTCTTAATATATTCCCTAAGTTTTCGTACATTTGCTTCTGATCCATTTTCTTTCGGTACGTTTGCCTCTAATCCATTTTTTTCTTACAAAGAAATTTTTTTTAAATATTGCTGAAGTTTAATAAGTTAAAATATTGCTGAAGTTTAATAAGTAAAAATATTGCTGAAGTTTAATAAGTAAAAATAGTGCTGAAGTTTATTAAGTAAAAAAAACAAGACTTGATCTATGTGGTTAAAACAAATTTTTCTGTTATAATGACACGTTATAGGACATAGGACCTAATGACACGTTATAGGACATAGGACCTAATGACACGTTATAGGACATAGGACCTAATGACACGTTATAGGACATAGGACCTAATGACACTAAATTGCGGAAACTTTCAACTATCCAGATTTTTTACCATAAAGTGGAATCCACATTAAAATCTTTTTATCTAACAAACAATATTCCATATAAAAACATTACTAAATAAGTAATATTCAATAAATAAAACATAATATTAAAAATCACATAATGTTCTACATATTTATACAAAAATACCGTATGCACATGGTATGTACTACATTTACGATCATATAACCACCGTATGTACATCGTATGCAAGAAAACACAACAACATACAACATCATACAACAACATCTTATGTATACCGTATAAACCACATTCATGAAATTAAGACAACTGTACATTATAATATCTTATTAGGCCTGTTAATATAGTTTTCTTGCTTAAAATCTTCTCTAAAAGAACTTTATATTCTCGGTGGCTCATTTTTAAAGAAAACGCCGTAAAGACTGTAAATGATGTAAAAATAAATTTTCTCTAAAAGTCTCCAATTAATGAATCAAGTATTATGCTGTGCTTCATATGCTGCTTTTGACTCTATTATTATAGTTCTCCTATTATATTATCGTATCGTTATTACTTTTTTTATTTATATTAATTGAACTGAATAACAATACTGCTTACTATTAATATTATTATTATAAACTATTTATTTTGTCTTTATTTAAGTAATACTTTGTTGACCTAAGAAACAGATTTTATAATTCACTAAAACAGACGTCTATTAGAAGTCTGGACGTCTACAATTACGTCCAAAAAGTTTCTTGTTTATTACTTTTAAAAGTGATAAATAAGTAATTTAATTATTTTGCCAAAATGTAATAAAAATAATAATTAATTTGAAATAAAGCATAACAAAAAAAAAAAAGGAAAGAAAACAATTTTTGGCGTTGCTTTAGCACTAAATGGTATTAATTTTCATATTCAAGTTTAAACTTTTAACTAAGCAAAAATCTATGAATCGAAGCATAATAAATCAGATAATGCTACAAAAGCATATTCATTCTTCTGTTGCTCTTAGAGAGAGAGTTAGTTATTGTTGACTTGATAAAATAATACTGATATAAATAAATACGCAATATATAATTTACTTTACCACTAAATTTGTTGGTATTGAATGCACCTTCATAATAAAAAATCACCAAAATCTACGTACTTAACATGTTAGGTACATTATCAGTAGCGTAGTATGTTAACATACTACGCTACTGATAATGTCGCAAAGAAATAGCAGCGCAAAGGAGGCTTTTACCCGCTCTCTATATATATCAACTAAGGATTTGTATTTCAACATGTATTATATAAATATGAAGGAAATCTATTGCTTCTATAATTTTAATTGAAAAACTGCGTGGGCTAGCACACAAATAAAAATAACGAGTATGCAATGTGTTATTATTATTTGTGTTACAAATTACAACACAATAATAATAACTTTAATTGATAAAACTTGGTAACAAAATTATAAAAGAAAAATGAGATGTAAGTATGATGTAAGATGTAAGTTTGGGTACTTTACATTGCTTTACATTACTTTACATTGTTTTATATTGTAAAGCAATGAGGAGTATGAGGAGCAAAAAAAACAAAACAATGGATGTATAAGATAAATACTTTTCAATGAAATGAATGTATATGAGGTAAATACATTTCAATAAAATGAATGTATATGAAATAAATATATTTCAACACATAATTTTTTACTATAACCATGTGAAAATTTTTAAAACAAAATTTAAGATAAATTTAAACAATAACTGTTCTCTGCGATTGAACGAGAAAAAAAATATATATGCACTGTCTTGTTAAGAAACTAAATAAAAAGGAAGCAAAAGCATATCAAGCAGAACAACACATCAATAGAAAAATAACACGTCGAGAAAAACAACGAAGCAGCACATCGAGGGTCTAAGATATATGTAAAAAATACCATTTCAATGATGATGAAACACTATCTTAATTTTATTATCATTGAACTACCATTTAAATGATGATAAAATAAATTAATTTAAGCTTTAAATAAATAAAAAATTTAAAAATTTTTTGTGATACATAAAACTATGATGATTCTTTTAACTGAATTTTTTTGTATATTAAAAAGAACTACTTCATTTTTTTGTATTTAAAACTAAAATTTTTAAATTTGAACAAGTTTAAAATTGAATTAATTCACTGAACTAATTCATTTTTATTTAAACATTTGATTTTAACTTATTACTTTATTGACAAGTTGATTTTGAACTTAACTTTATTGACATACTTGAATTGATAATATAACAAGTTTTATGTTTTATTTAAATCTATAATTTTTCTGTTTTTTTTTGTTACTCTGCTTGTTTCTGATAATTGATTATTAATTTTTCTTTTATTTTTTTGTTACCACTTATACTTGCTAAAAACTTATATAAAGGTTATTAACTTTTAAAACTAATAATCTTTTTTTAAACCTTTTTTTAAACCTTTTTTCAAACCTTTTTTTTAAACCGTTTTTTTAAACCTTTTTTAAGTTAATAACATTTTTAAGTCTTTTTCAAATTTGATTACGTCACTAATTTTTTTATAATTTTTATAATTTTGATTAAGTGGAATTTCGTAAAAAAAAAAAAAAAAATTGTTTTTTGTTATATTTTAAATAATAATAACAAAACATTTATGATTTTTTGTATGAAATAAATCCATTTTTAGCTCAAAAAATCGGCACTAAAAATTGCCAATATTTTGAGCACCTAAAAAAAAAAATATATTTTGAGCACCTAAAAATAGTTCTCAAAATATGATATGCTGCATGAATGGTTTTTTGACTTCATTTTTCACTTTGAAAAAAAATTGCATGTTGTTGTTTAGGAATCTTTTTAAATTCAAAAATTTTATTTAATTAAAGGAAACGCTTAATCTATTTTCATACTTAAAATTTTATATTTAAAACTATTTATTGTATTGATTAATTCATTCACTTATTTTTTTCAAATATAACGTATTTTTCTATATATAACTTTTATATACATATATCACATTTAACTTATGTGTTATTTTAGAGTTTATTGTTATTTTAAAAATTTTATAGTCTTTTTGAAATTATTCTTTAAATTAAATTTTTTTGTTGGTTTTTTTTAATAAAAGAAATATTTATTTTTTCAAACAAAATGTATTATTTTTTTTCTCAATACATAAACAATATGTTACTAAGTGTTGAAACGAAGTCTTTCGATAACTATATTACGTAAATATTGTTTAGTGATCGTCGTTGAGGTGACTAAGAATTATATACAAGTTCGCATTCGAAGGATTCACTGAAAGTCTTATAAAAATTTGATGAGTTTAACGTTTCATTGAATAGTCTATTTGATTGCGAAGCGGGAGGTTCAAATTTCCTCTAGAAGCTTTATTTTATCAGCTGTTTATTGTTTTTAAATCTCACCTTTGACCAAATCATCATTTCTTCTTAATTTGGAATTATAAATAGTCTTTTTTTTCATGCCAATAATATTGATTGGATATTCAAACATCACTTTTAAATTTATGTTGATTCTTAATTAGAGTTTCAAGCAAAATCTATTTTTAAATAAAAAATCAAGTTTTACCCCCGGATTTTTGCCATGGTTTCACAATAAACGCCAAAACATTTCAATAAAATATTTAAGAAATAATTCTGAACAGATTTAGTTGAAAATTTTTACAATCGAAGATACTTAATCAACATGAGAGAAATAGTACACGTTCAAGCCGGCCAATGTGGAAACCAAATTGGGGCAAAGGTAAGTCAGACTTTTACAAAACTCTTTTATTTCTTATTTTCTTTTTTTCAATCTTATATTTTACCAAAAAATATTTTTTTACTTAGTTTTGGGAAGTCATATCAGATGAACATGGTATTGATCCGACTGGCATGTACCATGGCGATTCTGATTTGCAACTAGAAAGAGTAAATGTTTATTATGCTGAAGGATCAGGTATCAGAAAAGAAAATTTTAAAGAATATTCAGATATAACCAAGATTTAACTTTTTTTGTTCTTCTAACATTTTAACAAATTCAAGTTTGTACAACTTTTACGGCGCGATTAAATTAGTAAATTTATGTTTGTACAAAAAAAATATTTCAAAAAATTTGTTCTAATCATCTCGTTATATATATTCTCATTTTTATTTGCACTTCCCATAATAAGATATTGTTCCCACCCACTCTCCAATAAAAAAATTCAACTCTCCGCCTCTTCTTTCATGTTTATATGTTTTTTTTATTCTTTTATAGTAAATTTAACGTTTCGGAACCGTTTTAAAGTTTTTTCAACTTCTTTAGGAGGAAAGTATGTTCCAAGAGCAGTTCTTGTTGATTTGGAACCTGGTACTATGGACTCCGTTAGATCCGGTCCATTTGGCGCAATTTTTAGACCAGACAATTTTGTTTTTGGACAAAGTGGTGCTGGAAATAATTGGGCTAAAGGCCATTATACTGAAGGTGCAGAACTTGTGGACGCTGTTTTAGATGTTGTTAGAAAAGAGGCTGAAAGTTGTGATTGTCTGCAAGGTTTTCAGTTGACACACTCTCTTGGTGGGGGAACAGGTTCAGGAATGGGCACATTGTTAATTTCTAAAATTCGCGAGGAATACCCGGATCGAATCATGAACACATTTAGCGTTGTACCATCTCCTAAAGTATCAGACACTGTAGTAGAACCTTATAATGCTACCCTCTCCGTCCATCAGTTAGTTGAGAATACAGATGAAACTTTTTGCATTGACAATGAAGCACTTTACGATATATGTTTCCGAACATTAAAGTTAGCAACACCTACATACGGAGACTTAAATCATCTTGTGTCTGCAACTATGAGTGGTGTGACCACTTGTCTTAGATTTCCTGGACAGGTATGTTTAAAAAAAATGTCTATAACTTTCATAACATTTGAACATTATTTTTCTTGTGTAACTTATTAATTAAATTTAAATTTTTGTAATAGCTAAACGCCGATCTTCGAAAACTGGCCGTAAACATGGTACCGTTTCCTCGACTTCATTTCTTTATGCCTGGATTTGCACCACTCACAAGTCGCGGCTCTCAACAATACCGCGCATTGACTGTTCCCGAGCTCACACAACAAATGTTCGACTCTAAAAATATGATGGCAGCATGTGATCCTCGTCATGGTCGATACTTAACTGTTGCAGCTATGTTTCGTGGTCGAATGTCAATGAAAGAAGTTGATGAGCAGATGCTTAATGTCCAAAACAAGAACAGCTCCTACTTTGTTGAATGGATTCCAAATAACGTCAAAACAGCAGTTTGCGATATACCACCACGTGGTTTAAAAATGTCTGCAACATTTATTGGAAATAGTACTGCTATTCAAGAACTATTTAAACGCATCGGAGAACAGTTTACTGCTATGTTTCGACGAAAAGCTTTTCTGCATTGGTACACTGGTGAGGGTATGGATGAAATGGAGTTTACTGAAGCTGAATCAAACATGAATGATTTGGTTTCGGAGTATCAACAGTATCAAGATGCCACCGCTGAAGAAGAAGGAGAGTTTGAAGAAGAAGAACAAGAAAATGAATAAAATTTAAATTTGAATGTCAGTGTTGCACTTAGATAAATGTTATAGAAGCTCTTTGTAAAGTAATTTCAATACTAACAACCGAAAGTTTGAAAGTTTTTTCTTTTTTAAATTATAAGTTGCGCATACGCATTAAATTTTTATCTATTATGTTTTTAAAACTTATTTAAAAAAAAAAAAAACAACAGCAATGATTTGAAATTCCATCTTAATGAAATTTTAGATAAAAAATTTTAGATAAAAAATTTGAAATTTTAGATAAAAACTGTTGTAACCGGTTGTAAATTATTCAAAAACTTTCTATGACCTTTTGTAAGATGTTGTAAACCTTATGTAACTGTAGCAATAAAAATTTTATTTTACACTATCGAATCTTTTTTTATGTGATTTTGACGTTTTTTTGTATTAAAACTCTTTTCTCTCTCTCTTTTTTCTTTTTATTCGGCAAAAAATTATGTTAAAATTCTTTGTACATTTCTATAGTTCATACAAAAATAATAAATATGATTCATACACAACAAAATCATTAATTAATATTAAAACCTTACGTTCCAAGAATTCAATGAATTTAATTACTATAACTAAAACCAAAGTAAAATCACTGCATAGTTTAAAAGAAAATAGAATCTTAGGGTTTTTGTAACTAATTGAAGTAGTTTTCACGCTTTATATTGATTTACACCATAAACAAATACTGATTAACACCTTCTCACCCTGCCCAAAACATGGTTTTATAACTCACCATATTATGCCAAGTGCAAGAAAAATAGAAAAAACAAAACAAAATAATTTAGAATAATAAAAAATTAATACGAAGTTCATCTTTGAAACAACCAACTAAGGCAACTAAAGATTGCTACAACTAACTAGGGCAAACGCAACCGCTTAAAGAAATCCAACAAGAGAAGGCGCAAGCACCTATCAAAATTATAACAGGCCTAATATTAACTCATTGTCAAACTTGAACCAAGTTGTTAAAAATTTGCTGATATCAGCAGATCAACAGATCAATAAAAGATTTGTATTCACTGCAAAGATTTATAACACAGTTTTTTTTTTTTGCATTTTTTAGACATGTGTTACTTTTTTTTTTGAACATATGTTATTTCAAATAAGGTTTTCAGCACCATAAGCCTAATGTTTTTCTAAGTAAAAGATTTTCAGCACCATAAACCTAATATTTTTCTAAGCAAAAGGTTTTCAAGTAACTTTTTTATGCTGCTTTATGTTTATAACTTTAAATTACGCATATTCAAATTACATGTTGTCTCTAAGACCGAGGCACAAAACATTTAACCTATCAATACCAAAACAAGAATAAAATTTTAAAATAAGACAAAGTTGAGTCAAAACCAGTACCAGCGCTATATATATGGTTTTAATCAAAATTGTATTTGTATTTATTTAACTGTATTTTAATTATTTAACTAGAGGGAATAGCAAAAAAGAAATTTAAGTATCAAGCTGAGCTATCGATCTCAAAACTAATAAGTCACTAGACAAAAACAATTCTGATAAAATATGAAATATATATATATATATATATATATATATATATATATATATATATATATATATATATATATATATATATATATATATATATATATATATATATATATATATATATATATATATATATATATATATATATATATATATATATATATATATATGCTTTTTAGGCGTTTTCAGATTTGGCTTCACGTTAGTAATGTTTTATTGTATGCTATTTGATATATCTTTATAAAATTTTTTGCAAATGCTCCTTCCGAAATGTAATAGGCGGAAAATTTGCGCCAAAAATCCTTTTAAGGTTGCACCTTTGCAAAGAATTATAATCAAAGCAAAATATATTGAAGAAGAATAAATGATTTAAAATAATTTTTTATTTTAAATCATTTATTAAGGCAAATCTTCAATAAAAAAATTCAATAAATTTGTTAGTTTTAAAAATGCATATATAAAAAAGCTTTAAAAAGGATATGCAAAAAATAGTTAAAAAAAAATATTTATATTATATACGTTCCCGGGGGAAAAATAAGTGTTAAGAGTTCTGAGAACTCAAATGTTTCAAAGTTTTTTAAGATGTTTTTATTTCAAAGTTCAGACCAGATAAGCGACATGGCTAAAGAAGGTGTGAACTTCATGGTTAAATGTTATTTTGTAATGTTTTGTGATGAGGCAATTGTCTGTTAATTTACCATTGTCTTGTAGTTTAGCACACTCTTTTACGCAAACGGAGACTGGCAGCCTGGTAAGGAGTCTGACAGTCTTAGATCTAGTCTAACAATTTTTTAGATTCAGAGAGCTTCATTGGGTTCCAGTTCCCCTTTTATTTAAAAACTTTTTAATGCAAAATTAACTAAGACATGTACCAAGAAATTTTGCGCGGATATTTTAAAGAATATTTATTCAGCTATTTTATTTCAATATTGAAAATTATATATATTTTAAAAAAACATATATTAATATTCTTAAATTTCACTTAAGCAAGTTTGTGAAGTTTTATACGTTAGAACGGACGAACTTTGCGTTTTACACTCAATATCAGTTTGTGCACTGTCTTCATCTCACTGTTCAGATGGAATTTCTTGGAAGCTCTAATGAATTTATTTTCAGAATCTTGAATGTTTTTTGCTTCGTTTACATTTAACGTTAGTTTTCCATTAGCAATAGCCCAGTTATCTTTTGATAGGTCATAGTTTGTGAAAATTTGGTGGCCTGCAGTGTTTTTGAACGAAACCTACTTTTTATTATGTTAACTAGTTTAAAGTTGTCCCATAATAATGACAGGATGCTAAATCGGGTTAAAATAACTGATTAGTCGTATCTTAAAAACGACAAAAAACGATTCTTTAGACCTTTGATGTATACTTTGGTGTTAATTACTGTTGCAGACACAAAACAAAAAAGCCTCTTTCACCGCATTCACAAATCGCTTACTAAACTAAGAAGTTTTCTTGCGCAGGTCTTACAATGTAGCCTATTTTAATGTCTAAAAAGTAAAATGTTAAGCTAGTTTAATTTGTCTCAAATGTAGCGGCTTCTTTTTTTTTTTTTGGAAGTTAGCAATAGTTATCCATCATGTTTAGGGAGCACTCAGGGGCGAACGCTATTTTCTAGTTAATTTTTTGTAATTTTTGATTGGGTAATCTCTGTAAAGCCACTTTCCAATTTGCCTGCTCTCTTCAAAATTGTTTTTGATTGCTCTGTACTTCTCAAATGGCATTTTTGATTTACTCAGCTTTTGAAGATAGTAAGAAAGGGATTTTATGCAAGCCCAATCTTTAAGATAATTGGCGGGTGCAGGCTAACCACACTTTTTTTTATTTTTTTCGATGTGAAGTCCTTACTTCAAACTGGAAAACTAAAAAAGTACTTTTCTGGTGGATCCTTTAGAAAAAAAAATCAATAGAAAAAATTGCAATGGTTCACTTATATTTTATTTTTAATATTACATAAAACTCAAAATTTCATTAATAAAATATATTAAATTTAAAGCAAATTTTATTAAAATTATAGGCAAAACAGGCAAAAGCTAAAAAAATTAAAACGCTGTTTTTTAATAACCCTGAACCTAACCCTAACCCTAACTGATTACTTGAAAGTTACTTGCGGCGTTCCCCGAGGCTCAATTCTGGGTCCATTTTTATTTCTTATTTATGTGAACAATTTCCATAACTTTTCAAAGATTTTGAACTCAGTTTAGCAGATGATACAAATTTATTTTATTCTAATAGAGATGTCAACCTTTTATTTAAAATAGTAAACAAGGAATTTTTAAATCTAGCGAAATGGTTTAAGGCAAACAAATTGTCCTTAAATTTAAATAAAACCAAGTATACTTTTTTCATAGACTTCACGATAAAGAAAATATTCCATTAAAACTTCTTGATCTTTACTTAAAGTTTTTAATACTTGACGAAAACTTGACATGGAGAGAACACATAAGAACAATAGAAGGTAAAATTTCAAAAAATATTGGCATATTATACAAAGCTAAGCAAGTAGTAAACCAAAACTGCTTAAAATTCTTATATTTCTCCCTCATGCATTGTTGTATAAATTATGCAAATTTTGCATGGTGCAGTTCTAATTTAAGTAAAATTAAAAAATTGTTTAGTAGACAAAAACACGCTGTCAGGATTATTTCAAACGCAGGTCGATTCGCATATTCTAAAGAACTATTTAAAAATCATTACATACTTAATGTTTTTCAGTTAAACCTTTATCAAATTCATATATTTATGTACAAACTACATAATAAATTAACTCCTATAATATTTTATTCACTTTTCAATGAAATTAATCACGTGTACCCTACAAGATTTTCAAATTACAATTACGAGCAACCTTAAATGCACTATTTGGTTACTAAATTTTCTATTGCCATCAGAGGTCCTAAATTATGGAACACTTTATTAAATAACCAGCTGAAAAATTGTTCTTCATTTTTTCTATTTAAACAAAAACTCAAACAAAAACTTTTTAACGATTTTAATGAACTAAATTATTTTTAAAATTCTTTTTTTTTTTTTTTAATTTTTAATTTTTTTTTTCTTCTTTAACAACTATGTTATTAACTTGTCTCTAATTTAAATTTTTTTAAAATTAACCTATTAACTTATCTTTAGTTTTTAGGTGTGATTATTTTTTATTTTTTTGTTTTTACGATTTTCTTTTGATTATAGATTAGTAACTGATCTTAACATACTTCTAAATATTTGTATATAATTTTTAAATGGTACAAATTAATTTTATGTTTTCAATTTAATTGTTGTACACGCTTGCTTATGAAAGCACGTCAGGACGTAATGATAAGACAAATATTGTCTTCTTTTAGCCCCGGTCATGTAGATTTTATTTATATAACACGGCATTGTATTCTTTTTTTAATTGACGAAAATAAATAAAAATAAAATAAATAAATAAATAAAATAAACTTTGATTGAAACTGCATAATTTTTTGTAAATAGATTCGTAATTTTTTTTTTACTTCAGTGTTAGTGGCTCGTTATATTTTTATCACGTTATAGTTTTTTCACACAAAGAATTTTTTTCCCGCTCTTTACATCATTTTTATATCACGCCT